AAAGATTAATGCTGCCATTTTTATAAATATGTTCTTTACTCCCATCTAGTTTCATAATTTGTCACCAGGCTCTTAAAAAATTAATAAATTTCCTTCCTGTAAGAAAAGGTTTTAGCTACTTTTAAGGCACTTTTATGGCAATTACTAAAACACAAGGTTTTACCTTCATCGCATCGTTCCAAGGTTTCCTAGGTAACTTTATGGTGTTCTGATATTCAGCAGATGGATCTAATTCGTTGTTTTTTCATGTCACCATCAGGGTCAGTACGCCCGATTTAAACGGTACGTGGGGCACAGTGCCCAGGTGACCAATGTCCGCTGGGCGCAGGATGACTCGGCCCTTCTGACGGTGGGTGGAGCCGATACGGCTCTGATGATCTGGGCCCGGGAGCGAGGAGGCGGAGTCAACAGAGAGCTGGATCCACCACCAGTGGCGGACAGCGAGGAGTCAGAGGATGACATCGAGGAGGATGGAGGTGGGTCTGAATGCTAACTAGCATCCTATCCTCTGACTGAGATGGAGTCCATCACAGTCATCACACTTCCAGGAACTCTTCTGTCTCATTTACCACCAATGCTGCTGCCTACTCAGAAACATTTCAACATCCTTTCCAGCAACTTTACCTTTTAAAAATGCAGCCAACAGACTTTTAGATCGATTTTTGTTGTGTTTGAAGGTTATGACAGTGATGTAGCCAGAGAGAAGACGGTGGATTACGTCACTAAGATGTACGCCGTCAGCATCCGAGAGATGAGAGGAACCAAACCTCACCAGCAGCAGAAGGAGCTGTCTCCTGAGGAAAGGTAGGAACACAGCTGATATCAATGGCTTCCCTTTATTCTAAACTTAGTCCTGCGGGACTTAGGGTTTAATTAAATTATAGGCTGAATGTTGAGATGCTGTGATCTGTTACTTTGAGTTGTTTGCTTAAGACAGAAGTCTTCTTCTGTTTAACTTTGTCCACTGAAACCTAAACTGTCCATCTGAGGATGAAACATCCTCTCTATTCTTGCTGTGTTGGATTAATGCTTGCAGCTGATCGATCTTAATGCGTATTTCTGTTTTTTTATTCTCTGCATGTCCAGATTTCTGCATGATCTGTAAGTTTAAACTGTGAGGAAACGCTGGTGGCTGTGTTTCTACTCATTAAACATACTAACAGGAAGCCATCTTTGCTCCACGGTCAACAAAGTTTCCATTCAGATTTATCCACTGTAGTGGGAAAAGGTATTAATCTATTTGCTCCAGTTAAATAAACCGAGATCAATGGATTTTACTCAATTTGCACTTTATTTTGATCGTTGCAAAGAGAGAACAGTTCATCATAAGGTCCTTATTGCACGGTAATCAGCCCTGTTCTGCCTGAGCAGAGTCTGTTCCTCCTTACTTACAATAATGGAAAGTTATCAGACTCAAAACAAATTACTGACACTTTGGTTAAACAGTAACTTGCTGTAAATAAACCTCGAGAAAGGATCCGGCTTGGTATGGGTAGAAGGTATGTCTGGTCTAAATCCTAGTTAATTGTGTGAGAAAGCATGAAAATGTACACAAAGTAAACAACAACACATCAGCACAGAAACTTTGTCAACGTTAATAGGAGCCAAAGATTCACACATGAATGGAGGTAAATGAGATTTCTAAAGCTCCTGTCACACCTTGATGATTTAGCCAGCGTATGTCTCGCGTACGGAAACTCTGGTAAAACTGCTGGCATACGTTGGATAAGTTATGGGTATGTTTTGGATACGTTATGAGCACGCTGAAACACGCTGAAACATGCTGCTGCATGGTGGCACACGTCGACATACGGCGAGTGTTGGGTTAAAAAATGTAGGTTCATAAAAGAGGAACTGAGTCCACACAGGAAAGAGATTTTTAACAGCTTCTGCAGAAGGAGAGAGCTGCAACCCAACACACTACTCTCTCCTGGACCCCCCCCCTGCAGAGCCTTTTTATTAGCATATCTTAAAGGAATAGTACACCGAAAACATGATTAGCCTTCATTTTCTACTCACCCCCATGCTGAACAACACTCTGGAGTACTTTTTTGATATCTCAAATGCA